GGATTCTTCTGGCTCTTGAGCTATAATTTGGACGATACTAAGCGGTAAAAGTCCCATTAAATAAGTAACGAATTCTTTTTTATCTATGTTTATTCTCGTAGCTTGGCGTTCAAACAATAACAAATATGTGCTTATATCTGTTTCATTAGCATCAAAACTTTTGATTAATTTAGATAGATCACTAGATTTAAATGTGTCTGTGGTAGTTACATGAGTTCCATTTTGTTTATTTAAATTATCCGATTTTAATTTCTCAAGTTGAATTTCTTGCGCTAATCTTTCTTTTTCATTAGCTAATCTTTCTTTTTCTAGTCTTTCGGAAACAATTGTTTCTAAGAGGTTTTTCGTTACCTCCTCGTTATATTCTTTACATGAAGTTATACATTTAATTATTTCTATAATTTTTGCTGCAGGGGGCACATCAACAGTTAATTCCTCAGCTAATTTAATCAAGTCCTCCTTTCTAGCTCTCGACAGAAAAGTCATTATTTTATTCTTTTAAGATACAGAAAAAAAGAAAATTCTGTACTCACATGGCGGGGTAGCTTCTGACACCAAATGTAAATGCCTTGGTTACCATTAATAAAGTCAATCAAGACATTTAATGATTATGCTTAATGATAATGATTCTTTAATGATAACATGAGTCACACAGACTCTTAAAACAATAAAGATCGAACCACACAGGTTCCAGTTTCACACAGAAACATATTTCAATTAACTAATATTATAGTCACTTAGAGTCTTAATCACTAAGATTATCAGTTTCACTTAGAAACTACTCCGACAGACAATTCCAACTGACTCTCTTCATTTACATCAAGAAAGTTCTATGCCTTTCGTTCAGACGAGCGACATCTGGCGGGATAACATAGAGGTTGTTGTCTCGCTTATTACATATATATATATATATATATATATAAACTATTTTTAAAAAGTTAAATGACTATCTCTTATGATTCATGCTCATTCGATTAAGAGTGAAAACCTGAATATCCTGTATTGAAGATATTCAGTTCACTCTTTCAAATCATCCCCTTTCTCATAAGAAAAAAAAAAGAGACAGTTGGTCCGATATCATTTACAATCAAGTTTTTTATACTGTGGGTCACCATAGCAATTTTGATATCACTTTAATTTATTATTTCACTATTATTATTCGGGATTGAAAATTGATTTCAATCGAAGACTGCCTTCAGAAGATTTTTAACTAAGAGTTTCGAAAGAATTTCGAATAATTTCTGTTACTGCCATTTTTTTAAACTTTTTTCTACGTGTGCGGGATGTCATTTTCGTCCATCAAATAAAAGAGTCAATCTAAATATAAAAATTTATATTAGGAGCTAGTAACTGCTTATTAGTGCAATCAACTTGTTGTAAAAAACAGTTCCACATAGCTGCACAAATAGACGTTTCAAATTTTTGAATTTTTTTAAAAAGTCCACTGGCTTCTCGTCTTGTTGCAACAGACTCATCATTATTGGATGATAATTTCTGTAGTGTAGTTGAAATTTCTTTATAACTAAGTACCAATGCTTTGGTGGCAGCAGCATTGGCACACCATCTTGTGTTGGCCAAGGACTTTACTGTAAGGGAATTATTTTTTGCTTTCATCGCATCATTTAAAACTGACCAACGGTGTGTAGAGCCAGAAAAGAAATTGAATAATTCTTGAAGAAAAGTAAAAAAGTCCCATATAGTATCATTTGCCTCTGCAGCTTTCACAACAACCAAATTTAAAGAATGGGCTGCACAAGGTACAAACTCTGCCAAGTGATTCAAGTTCTTTATACGAGCTTGCAAGCTATTATATTTATCTGCCATATTACTGGAGTTATCATAACTTTGTCCTCTACAATTAATTATGTCTATTCCTGTCTTTTCCAAAAATGCTAAAATTGTCTCTTCTAAATGTTGGGCAGAGTGGTTATCAATGGGCAAAAAAAAAAAAAAAAAAATCTTTCGATTGGCTCAAAATCATCTTGAACATACCTAACTACAAAAGTTAATTGATCCGTATGAGACAGGTCTGGCGTTGAACCGACAATAATTGAAAAAAATTTGGCACTTTTTACATCAGAGACAATTCTCTTCAACACTCTATCAGCCATCAATTCGACAAACTCATTTACAATAGTAGAAGATAAGTATGATGTGTGACCACTTCCAGGATTTCCATATTTTTCTAAATGTCTTGCTAGGAAAGGGTCTCGCTGTGGCGTCATTATCGCTGATGATACCTATAGCTACAGAATCCCAAGTATTTGCTCCGTCTTTACTGCTAAAGCTGCTGCCATCCTCTTGGCACTGCGGCTGATTTCCACTCGTTCCAGAAGGAAATATTGCATATACTCCGACAGTATGAGTGTTTTGAGGCAGTTGGAAAATTTTAACAGTGAGACTCTTCCGATTTTATGTTTTATTAATCACTTGTTGATAACCCTTCACAAAAATAGATTTCATATTTTATTCTGTTGGGTGCCGAGTCACGTCGGTATTCCAGGGAACGACTTGGCTGATTCGGCTGCACGATCTGCTACCTCTGTTTTGACCTTTACCTCTATCTGTACCTTTCTCGGACACGAAAACTTATGTTCGACAGTTCCTCACATCTGTTTGGCAACAACAATGGGATCTAAAAATTTATAACAAGTTACACTCAATAAAAACAGATTTTAACCCTTATCCTGTGTTGAGTCTGAGGCATGCAGATGTAAAATTAAACCGTCTCCGAATCGGCCGCACTCGGCTGACCCACCTACATTTGTTATTCGGGGAACCTCCTCCCTAATGCAGCACCTGTAAAGTTTTACTCACTATTCATCATATTTTAATCATCTGCACATGTTTTAACCGTCATCGTCTAATCTTTTTTGGTAGTTCTATTTTAACTCTGCAGGATTTGTTAGGTGACTCTCATCATCCTAACATTTTTGCGTTTCTTCGCGCAATTGGTCTTTTATACTGTATATAACTGTTTTATCCTATTCCCAAATTTTATCTGATTTTATTCATCTTTGAATGCAACTGTTTTATAATGCTTTACTACATTTACATTTTATCTGATTTTACTCACTTCTCTGTCACGTTGTATCTAGTTTTATAAACTCCGTGTGACTTTTAATGAGGAAAATTTGTAATATACATTTACCTTTATTTTAAAACCGTTCATTTGGCGCAGCATGTACTCCTTTGGACTTTGCGCCATTAAACCCCACATTCAATCAATCAATCGAATTATCATAAATGGTTACTCTTGGAAGAGAGAAAAAGAAAAGTAAATTTGAAAACACATTTCACAGCAAGATTTGACGAGTCGGGTCTGGAACAAAATCCCGAAATAGACAAAACTCAGATAATATTGAAATCCGTTTAAATCTCATCACCGATGAAAATATCCGACAGTGAAAGAATTTCGGCAAAGTCGGGATTTTGGCTTGTAAGGAAAAAAAAATGCCGACTTAACCTGAATTTGCCGACTGGATGATATCGCGGGGGCGGGGGGGGGTGAGACACCCCTCTCACCCCACCGTTGAGAATGGGTCTGACTCCATCAATCCTTTTCTTTATCCTGTTTAGAAGTGCTCTGGACGTGCCAAATTTCTGGTGGCATTTTCGTTGAGCCTAAAGTATTAAAATAATTCTCTAAAAATTTCCAATGTTAAATACCTTTAGAATTTGCAGTAAATTATTAAAATCAGACAAACGAGTAAATAATCCTAATCTTGTTTGTTTCAAGTTTCTCATTATCCGTAAATAAGAAAAATAGTCAAAGATATGAAAAAAAAGCAATCATTTTCGTCTTGAAATATTTATAAAAGAAATTTTAAATTTGCTATCATGGAAATATTACTCATAATATTTGCTCTCATAGAAACAGTATCGTTACAAAATGTCTTATTAAAAATAAGGTCGAAAATAATATGAATATCTTATTAAAGCTCACTATTAGTTTAAATGATTTGATAAAAAAAACTCTTTCCAGAAACAAATACACAGGCTTATATATGTTATCAGAAATTGAAAAACTACTGTATTTAACTGCCATATGCAATTTTAAACCTAAATATTCTTATTTTTATTCGTCCAAACGGCATTTCAATCTCAAAAACTTTAAATTTAACACTAATAGCGAACCTTCCTGTTGTCAAATATTATTAATAATTATTATTTTCAACAACTTTTTTAAACTGATATTTTTTATTCTCAAACTTTATACTATCCTTCATATGAAAATAGCACAAAATTTATTAAAAACAAATTAACTATATTTTGAAATTGAGCTATTGGCGACCACAGAGGCTAGATGTATGTACTGAACTTAAATAGATTATATGTTATCGAACTCACAATTAAGACTTAGATCAATTTAATTTCTACTTCTGTGTCTAAACATTAAGAAAAGAAAAACGTTTAATTACAATAAATCATTTGTCTGAGCATTTAAATAATTAGACAAAACTAATTGATAATTATAAGTAAACATTTTAATTTCGAATAAAAACATAGATGTGAAAGCTGATTTTTACTTTTTAAAATAAATATTTATTTTACTTGGTTATATATATATATATAAACGTTTATCATTTCCTAATTCAGACATTAGATTAGCATCAACAATTATGAGACTGTTAAATATATTATTCGAATCGTTAGGTAAACCTTCATGAAATTTAACATTTGATAAAGTATTAAGCATTTCTTGGTACGCCCCATAACCATATGAGGAGCTGGATGTACTAACTTATGCTCAATTAATTTTTTCACAAATTGAGACTTACCACAACCTGTTGGACCTGCAACCACTATTGTGAAGGGATGTTTCAGCTTCTACGAATCCATTGCAAATGATAATCTGTCACTATAAACATACATTATGTACTATATTTATACCAAACAACATTTTCAAATTAAAACAAAGAAATAATTCGTCACCAAGTTTTGAAACTCAAAACATGTTCCAAAGTCTATAATTAATTCTAAATATATTAGGAGAAAATATTAATATTTATTAAAAATTAGAAAAAAGTAAGTAAAAACAAATAAAATATAACATTAATATTATTTAAAAAATATTTGTATCCTTTAATAGATATTAAAATACATAACCATATGGATATGTTTTATGATTGTCAGATACTATACGTTTATCAAAGTTAAACTTATATCTCTTTTCTTCTGTTTATAATCTTAGCACCCTTCAAATCGCGACTTATTTTTCTAGGGTTTAGAGTAGCTAACGTACCCGTCTCATTTTCAGTCAGGACATCTTTCAACGCTGAAAAATTTAAAATTTGAGAATTTTCAGAATTTAAAGTGAATCCTTGGATTTTGCAAGCTGTTTTACCTGAACTTGTCTTATAAGCGTAATATTTAAGGCCTGCAGATACAAACTCTGTAATAAAATCCCCGGCCGGTAATTCGTTCGTGAATTCCCCCAAATAATTACCTAGGGGCGGGATCATTTGTTCCATCTGAAAGGTAAATTATAGAGTCTGTATCATAATATAGTACTTTTTGATCCAGTTTTTCTAACTCGTTGTATAACCTTGAGCCTTGCGTCTGAAGTGGTGAACGCCACTATAAAAAGATTAAGACTGGATTACTGCCGAGGTACTCCTTCTTAATCTTGTATTGCATAAGAGCAATCTCATCCGTAGGAAACGATACGTTATGAATCTAGAATCGATATAAAATCATGTAGTCATTGTATTCAATAAACATAATGTTACTTTTTAAAATTTTAATAAGTGTAATGTCTTACTTCCTTCTTCATATCAGCGAAATATGTGTTAAATTCTGCAAGAGTTGATACAAACGCTGTTTGCAGTTTGTCCTGATCCTGCCCAAATTTCCCCCATAGTGAGTTTAACATTAGCTTTGAAAGGGATTGTTGTCTCGGATTCAGTCCAATCTTAGAATAATCTTAACTGGATACCTTCATGATTGAAGTAATCCTCAATGTATCTTAACTTCTGATCTTCAGTCTCTCAACCAGCTGGCCAACCTGAAGCGTCCTGCTTTATTTTCAAAAAAGTGTCAATATATGTTCTAAACAAATCTGTCGACTGTTCCTTGAAATTGTAAATTACGATTATTTCCATCAATTCATAACCACATTCCAAAACTTTGTTGATTTTCAAAGTAGACCACGTACCCTCTAAGCAACGCTCGTCTTCAGTATGGTCACATACATTTTGATTTCTTGTGGCGATGCATATTGAACACAGACCAAAAATTAACTTTCCATTTGATTTGAAGGGTAAAACAGGATGAAATAAAGATCTTGGGGGCAATAAACAAGACCGAAATATTTCTCGATTGATTCGAAGTTTTCGAGAATGATCTCAGGATGGCCAACGGGATACGCGCTGTACTTATTGACACAAGGGTAAAGGGATGTAAAATCAATATATTTAATTTTTTCGTTTCCTTCAACGCTGTGATACAACGTTGCGGCACCCGTTCTCCTTCCGTAAAAAGCATTCCGCGGATTGAGACGACGCCTAAAGAAAAGAAAAATAATAATAGATTTGCATTCATTTCATAAAAAAACAATTTAGGTTTAATAATAACTACTTTAAATGTTAAGAGACATTCCTGAAGTTCTTTATCTTCTTTTTTAGGTTTTATGAAATCAAGTTCCCAAATAGACACAACCAGCCTGCTTCAATTCAAACTCCTTCCTTAAAGTTTGACGCTTAATTGCCCACATAGGACGGTTATAGAGAGGGTGAATAGACGCATCGTGAAAACAGATGTCGCATCTATGAAATTCGTGAATTATATTATCTTGAGGTTGATAATCATCAACGAAGTACCCTCGTATCTTAATTTCTCCCCTGTCTCTGTGCGAACTCTGTGCCATTAAACTCTACATTCAATCAGGCAAGACAATATATTAAGATAAGTAATCCAGAATGAGAATGCTTTTTTTTCACAGTTTGTCACAACAAATTCATTAAATAAATTCATCACATCAGAAAAATGTGTAGGTATAGCGTTTAAATTTTAATTTCCTTCAAAATATAGAGAACATAAATGTTTTGAGAGTGACTGAACATCAGTAGAAAATTTTTCTGACATTGATTGCAAAAGTGCATTCCATAACATTCGGCTAAAAGATTCAAATAAAAGCTTGTGCACACGTATGCTCCGATTATAATGCTTCCCAAAATTGACACCATCTACAGATCCTGCTGCAACTATTTTTGATTCAACCATA